TGTGACTTCCCATTCTGCCTCTCCAGGATGAGGAACTCACCTGGGAGCTCCCCTTCCACCCCCACCCCCCTTTAATAAAGCTGCATTAAGCTTTCTCTCGTTCTCTCTGATTTCTTCTTTAAGTCCACTAACCTAACCTAACCTAACCTAACCTAACCTAACCTAACCTAACGCCTAGAATTTAACATGAATGCTAACCTATTCCTACTGATATCTTGATTCAGTTGGCAGTAATGAATACTCAACCAGATCCCATCAAAAATAGACATGATATTATTGACAGACAAGGAAAGGAAATATTTGCAAAGTCTTGAAAAGCTTATTTTAGATTATACTTGCACCAGTTAAATGATGCACGTTCTTTTCAAGAATACAAAGATAATTTGAAAAACTAAAATTAATTTTGAACCATTGTTGTTGTTATCTGCTGTCCAGTCGCCTGTGACTCATAGCGATGCTGTGTACAGCACCTCTGAACTCTGCCCTGTTCTGAACCAGTCTCACTAATTCCAACACACACACACTCCTATTGCCCCAGTCACTCTCATCCGGACCATCTCATCCGGACCTTCCTTTCCTGAACATTCCCTCTACCCTTCTGAGCATGATGTCCCTTCTCCAAGAGCTGATATCTCCTGGCCACGTGCCCAAAGTATGTGAGATGGAGCTTCAAAATCCTAAACTCCAAGGAGGGACTTGATGTCTCCCTCTCCAAGACAGACCTGTTTCCTTTCTTGGCAATCCATGATACATATGTTCAAGACTCTTCTCCATCACCACAATTTGAAGGCATTGATTCTTCTTTAGTCATGATAGTGCATCTCTCTGAAGAATAACAAGTAATTGCTAAGACCATGGCCTGCATTAGGCACACTTTGGCTTTTAGACTGGTATCATTGCTTTTCAGCACTCTGGAGAGATCCCTGACAGCATATTTCCCCCAATGCAATTCATCATTTGATTTCCTGAATGTTTGTGTTAAGAGTGTTGATTGTGGAACCAAACAAGCTG